TGTGTGTGTGTGTGTGTGTGTGTGAGAGAGAGAGAGAGAGAGGGAGGGAGAGAGAGAGAGAGAGTTATGAAGATTGAGGGCTACAGAGAGAGGGGGTAGGTGTGGGGATGGATGGACAGAAGAGTATAGATGGGGAATAGTTGGAGAGACAGACAGGTATGTGTGGGGATGGATAGGTGTGTATAGGGATAGATGAACAGCCAGACAGTAGTTCTGGTGCTAAAGTTGTTGAGAACTTGGATTTGCAAGAAAAGAACCGACAGCAGGTTCTGGTCACCAGCTGCCTGTCCCACATTTCCTGCAGAAGTCCCTACAGGACCTGACACGAGACATGTCTCAGTTCTGGGTCGGACTGTCCGTCTCCTCCCCGGAGAAGGCCTGGACCTGGCTGGACGGCTCCCGGCTGGATCTGACCCTGTGAGCGATTCCTTGAGTCAAACCCTTTCCGTCCCCTCCATGGGCAGAAGGGGCCGGGAACAGCGATGGGGGGAGGGGATGTTTGGGGGAAGATCAGGAGTTTTGGAGAAGTCATTTTCAGTGTAAGGTGACAACAAAGACGCCCTCTCCTCCCCCTCTCTCCCCCCACAGAGATGGTGGCTGGAGCCCTGGGGGTGGGGGAGGTGGCCCAGAGACGTGATGTGGAGTGAGAAGAGCAAAGGGGCCAGGCCAGAGCCCTGGGGATCCCCCAGACAATGGGGCAGGGGGGAGGGGGGGGACGGAGCAGCCAGAGAGGCAGGAGGGGGGCAGCGTCGGCCCAGCCCGGTGGGGAGGAGACGCGGAGCAGGGGAGGGAGCTGGACAGGGTCTGGCCCAGCAGGGAGGATGAGGCTGGAGCAGGTCCCTGGGCTCTGGGCAGGGAGAGGCCGTTCGAGACCCTGGCCAGAGCCCTGACAGTGGGGAGAGGGGGCAGCCCCAGGGCAGAGCTGGAGGAGACGACGGCTGCGGATCCCGTTGGAACAGGGAAGAGCCACTACCCACTGTGTGTGATAGACCCACACGTACTGACAGGGGCCCTCTCCTTTGTCCCGCAGGTTCCCGGTGTCAGGCCCGGCTGAGGGGAACCGCTGTGGGGCAGTGAAGGAGAATCGGATTCGTTCTGACCACTGCGACGCTGGATTTCAGTGGATTTGCCAGCAAGATGCCGTCCAGCTCTGAGCAGGGTACGGGGGAGACCTGAGCGCGGCACTGTTAGCCCCATGTCATGTGTGGGGAAACCGATACACAGACACTGACCTGCCCAAATTACACTGAGAACTGGTGTCAAAGTGGGAAATGGAACCCAGGAGTCCTGGCTCCCAGCCCCTCCCCCTCGCCCAGCGCCGGGAACAGAACCCAGGAGTCCTGGCTCCCAATGGTACCTCAGCCTAGAGAAGAGCGATTCCAAGCTCTGGCGTCACATATTCCAGCAGGGGCTGGAGAGCGCTGCAGGGGCTGGGCTTGGGCTGTAGAGTATCAGGCTCTGCACAGCGGTGGGGAAATGTGTCCCTCACACCCCCCGCGCCCACACCCCCCCCAGACTGGGAGAGAAGAGTCGGCCCCAGGTCACGTAACTCAGCACAGATTCGGTGTGTCCAATGGAGCAGAACTGACTGACAGCAGCTGGGGATCTGGGCTTTCCCCTGTATTTCACCCCTGATTAATTTCCTTTCACCTCTCTGACAGGTCCCTCTCAGCTCCCTTCCCCGGCCCGTCCACTGCTCCCGTCCAGCCTGTGACCTGACGCACCTCTGACCATCCTGCCCTAATGGCTCGTTAACTCGTCACTAACGAGGGGCTCTCAGCTGCAGAGGTGTCTGTGTGGATGTGCTGTCCACTTGCTACCTCCTTAGAGCACTTTAAGGAGATCAGTGCCCCCAACCCCGATCCCAAATGGAACCTTTCCCTGTGCATTATTTGACGCTCTCTGGGGTCGGTGTCACTGTCTCTGCCGGAGGAGCCGGGTTGGGGTGCTCCGTGGCAGTGAGGGGGGCACTACGGAGAGGGCTGGGGGCTAACGAACGCCCTGTTACCCCGTGGCCTGGCAGCCCAGGAGGAGATGGACTGGCAAAGTTGGAGGCCAGGGCGGCTGGCCAGGCTGAGAGGCGACCTTCCAAACAGACCCAAGTGTCTTTAGGAGCCGCCCCTGAGACAACTGGGCTTGTGAGTGCAACAGGACAGAGCGTGTCCAGTCTGCGGGAGAGACAGGGCTGGGGAGCGCTGGCCCTGTCAGGGTTTGGTCATGGGGCTGGATGAATGCAACATGCTGAAGGTGCTGTCACAAGGGGGGGGACAATGTGGCCCCAACCAGAGCCCCAGCATCTCCACTGCAGTGAAACGGCTCCTTCGCTCGAGCCTGAGGTAGGTGGCATGAGCCAGGCGCAGGTTCTAACTGCCATGTAAACATAGCCTTTGGGCTTCAGTTTCCCCATCTGTGAAATGGGGACATTGATATTGACCTTCCTGTGTGAAGTACTTTGAGATCTACAGATGCTCGAGATCGGAGCCAGGGATCATCATGATCATGGGGACATTAAAGGTTTCTGTTAAACCGTGCAAAAGCTGAGTGTGTTTGTTGATGGGTCACAGAGTGGACAGAACCCTGGCTTTGACATGTGATGTTACTTTAGACAAGTCACTTGCCCAATCTGTGCCTCAGTTTCCTCTCCCACCCTTTGTCTGTCCTGTCTGTTCAAATGGTGAAGGGA